TTCGCTGGGAAATGTGGGTATATGTAGGATAGTTCCGTACGGAGAAGTCCACGTAAGTGGGAAAAGCTTTTGACTGCCATTCACCAGGGAGGGGCCAAAAGTGATTATTTTGCGTATTGTTAAATCGTAGTTCGCGACGTCCAAATAATTATATCTACGCATTGTCTGGGTAGCGACCAAACGCTCGTCGTCTGCCCGGCAGGTTAATATTCTCAGGGAAGACAAAGGGTAGCATCCCCTCCATCCAAGAAGGCATGGAAACCGTCGGGCCTTACGGCATCTACTACTGTTGCCCCGTAAAGGAGCGCAAATTTGGTGTCGCATTTGTCGTGTGAGTGAGCATCCGCCGCCGACCGAACGTCTAGCCACAATTCGTATCAAAGCGAGATTCTTCAATATCTACTCACCCGCCTCAATCAAAAATGAAATGGCCATGCCTGACCCGCCACAGCTTCTTCCCAGAATAAGCAGGACCATAACAAATTTATTCGCCACCCGACGCTCACACCTGCTATCAGGGAGCAACAAACCAACATATGCGAGTAGTAGTCGAATTCCAACGAACCCGAAAGAACAACTGGTACAGTGAGAAATGTCACGAAGCCGCCGAAAAAACGGATGCGACCTACAATGCCACGCTGCGATCGGGCGCAACGCGAGCTATTTTGGAAAGCGTCGTCACCAAAATTTAAAGACCCATAATTCTTCCGCAAAATCTTTCTCCCTACCGGACTCTCTTTTGAACCCATCACCTTATTGACCGCCTACTCCTTATCTGCATTGTACTTTCATCAATGCTGCTTGGAGATACTTTGTTTTGCTTTCATTCCCAGTTCGAACTCCTGAAAGAGGAAAAAGTTAGTTTTTTGGTCATCCAACAATCCATACAACTTTGGATTCATGTTATTTTTCAATTGCCTGAACACCCAGATCTTGAGGGTAATTTAAAATATGAGGAATTTACAAGAAAAGGTATAACTAGTGCAGCAAGCAATTTCAGATAGCCCACGCTTAGGTAGGTAGATAGACATTAATATGAGGTATGCATTCATGGTGCTCCCTACTATTCACAATACTTCATATAAGCCTACCTCCCTCAAAAATATCAGAAGAGCTATCGGGCTTAGGGAGTGAATATGCTCATACACTATTTGTTCGAGGCAGATTGAATTGGCTGCTGCTTGTCTTGCAAGACTGTCCGCTACCTATTTTTGCTGTTTCCCCTTTTGACTTGGTACCCAGTTAGCTCTTGTATCTTTCACGGGAGTTAAGTTTCTTAACGCACTCAAAGATATCGGTTATGCTTAGGATCCTCGCACTTTTGTAGTTCTTATGTAAATTTAGCTCCGTATAAAAAAATGTTCTCAACATTTCACGTAACTGCAGGCATCTGGTTTAGCGTGCACTGATCCCTGCCTTTGATTTTTCTTGATTTTTTGAGAGGTCTGTGAACCAATGAATTGCGCCAGCCAGGAGCTATTCCAGTGGTTTTTGTATGGCGAATCAATTCAGCATTTCTCATATGACTGCCCTGCACAGCCGAGAATGCGTTCGTCATTTATTAGCAAGCCATCCGTGGACCTAGACAGGCGCCCCTCATTGTTTGAAAGGCTTACTGGATTCGTCAAAAACTCCTGATCGTTGAAGAATATACCGGATTCCCGTTGCATCACATTAGACCTCCGATTTGACCATAAAACAAACGTCACCAAGCAGGATCATTGACCTCCGAAAGAGTCCATAACTGCTGTAACAAAGGGTATTACGCTTGAAATGTACCAAAAAAAAATTATCCCACAGTGCAGCAGCGGGAACTGTACTTAGCATCTGAAGCAGAAACCCGACCATGCGCAAGTTGACACACACAATGATACAAAAACAAAGAGAACGATACAGCTGCAGGAGGCATACATACACAAATATATGTACATGTGAACATATTCCTACAATTCCTTTAGGAAATGCGAGCATTCCGCAGAATGAATGAAACATTCCCACTTTTTAACACACGATGCTGTTGGTGGGGGAAGTACTCGCTCTCGCTGATTCCAGAAAAACTAGCGAAACATTCGACGAAGCTGCTTATAAAATGAACGTAAAATCTTTCCACAAAGTTTCTTTTTGAATTAATATTGAAACATTCCAGAGAACTTCTTTTGAAATGCATACGGAGGTTCCACGAGAAGCTTTCACTTTATTTCCAAGCGAAAGCTTTACTCTCGTCGTCTGTTAGAAGCAAGAAGGATACATTGTAAATTTTAATATTCTTCGGAGTTTCCGCGAGAATGGATAAGGAATATTTCCATTTTACTTGCAAGTGGAAGTATTTATTCCTCATTTTCCAAGAGGGATCATACATAGCCACCAACACAAAGGAAACGCTAGAATTCACACCGACTTGGAAACATGAGGGCTAGTTATTTGCCATGAAAGCAATATTTACAAATACAATAAGAAGTATATCAGCATTTTACAGCGATAATAGTCATCGTGAAGAAAGGGTCTAGAGTGGGGTAGGGGTAGTGAGTATGCATGTATGCAATATACATATAGCCAAGCGTAATTGCTATACACACGAGTGATTCACAAAAATGTTGTGCCTCGGTCAACCGCCTCTGCCGCGCCGCAAGAGCGCCTTCTCCCCTTTTGTTGTTACAGAGGCTCAATCGATCGGTGTCGTATGTACAGACTGTATACATACATGTAAAGGGCGAGAGGCCTTAGCTAAAATAGAATAGCAACAACATGAAAGGAGAATATATGTATGTATGTCTGTACATTTGTAAACAACATACTCTTGAAAAATACCGAGAGAGTGCAACGAGATAACACGAAATGCGATAAAGCGGCAGGCGGATGGGCGTAGTGGAGCAATGAGGTGGCGAAAGAGGCTAACTGCCGTCCCTAAATTTGCGCGTCAAGCGCCAAACAACTGTCAAAAATCCTCATGCCCGTACAATTTGTATGGAGCATCCCACAATAACGCGGCGCTAGCGCCGAGCAAATGGAATTTTCATTTCTGGCAGGGTGTTACGTGTTGAAGTTGGATGCAGAAGGCGGAAAGAAAGAGAAAGGACAAAAAAGTTAAAGAGGATTCGAGAATAAAAACGAGGGAAATGAGAAAACGTCAAAAATCACGCCGCGTTGATTTGGGGATAGCGCGCGCTGACCCTCGTTGACAATTCAAAACGCAACGCTTAGCGCTCCAATTTAGGGAGGCCAGTAAGAGTAGGCTGCTGGCATCTTGTGTATGTATGTAAATATGTACATACGTATGTTTTTAGTTAGTTGCTGAGTGACTGACTATGTTGTTGTTATCGTTCTACAATACTTACATAGCCTGTTTTACTACTTCGCCTTTGCGCGTAACATTGGGGCCGTTTTCGTTCTTATTTCGTTTCTTTCGCTCTGCTGTTTCTAGTTTTAAGAGTTGTGTTTGTTTTTCTTTCGTTTGTTTATCAAAACTCCATCGCTAACGTTCTATGAAATTGTTTTTGCTTTTCTTTGGGGCTGCTTGCTGTATTTGCCTTCACTGTCTGATAACATTGTGTTTGTTGTTGCTATTTAGTGTGTATACTTAAAATTTCATTTAGTAGACATTTGTACGTACATAGGTATGTATAGATATATGTACGTATGCTACGCTACGTCAAAAACACGTCGTGGTATGTGAACAATGTTCACGACGAAGCCGCTCGCATGTGAAATTTCAGCAGGGAATGAGGAGTAGAGAGTGAACAGCAGTATTAGCACACCACTAAACGAGTAATAATGCACAGTGGGTGAAAAAGTTGATGAGTTGGAATAAGAGAATTAAATAACTTAATAAAAAATGAAGATGTCAGGGTTAGAGTGAGATAGGTTAGATCCGGTTAGGTTAGCAGAACTGTTATTCTTATTTTATTCTCATTTTAGAACCACAATCGGACACTTCGCCGATTGCTTCTCTATTTTACGTAGTTGCGCCAGTTTCTTATAGCAAGTGGAAACATCTCCTTCTATACTTGGCCTCCATGGCCATCCTTGGTTTCTTTATCACTCCATGAATGCCTGGTCAGAGGATATTTTCACCGGAGCAACATTGTGTATACGTACGACATGCCCAAGCCAACGTTCCTCATTTTATCTTCTTTGTTCTAAGTCGCCCATGCAATTGAGACCATCTTGCGTAGAGCGATTCTCTCGAAAGCCTTTCCTTTATTCGACGTTGCCAATGCTTCTGCGCCATTTAAAAAGACGGGCATAATGAGGGAATTTTAGAGCGTGATTTTTCTTCGTCGAAAGAGGCTTCTGTTATACAATTGGCTACGTAAGCCTGAAGGGCATGGTCAAGCATCAACTAAGGGTTCTTAGATCTTTCTGACTAATATTAAGGAGTTTTACAGAGACTCAGCGAGAGGTGGTATAAATCTCTGGGATTGTCTTTTAAACTTTAAGACCCCCTCCATTTTCTTAGATATGCCATATATTCTTTCGGAGCTCACTTTCGCCCCTTCGTTGTCATCAAAGCCATCATGACCTGACACCAGGTTACGGGTTACTAGTCTGTACAGTTTGTAAAGTTTTTTAAAAGGATAACTTCAGGGCCATTGCCTAAATGAATTTGCCAATGGTACATTTATATATTAACAGTTTGAAGATACTCAGATGACGCCTAAGGTATCCAATTCTCATGTTACTAAGTATGATTCGGAAATCTCAGAGCACTCCAATGAGGTCAGTTTTCAATGAGTATGGCAATAGACGGTTTGCTTCCAACAGACCAAGCAGTGGAGCTTCCCCAGATTGACATCAAAAACATAGTGGCGTTGGAGATAAACAATTTTACTAAAAAAACTGACAGTTCGTATGCGAGCGCCCATAGTAGGAATAGGACTGCAGATAACAAAAACCCTAACATTTCATCATTCATAAATATGTTCGCAAATTATCAAACCACCGCCAACTGTGCAGCCGTCGCATATCTACTCTGCACTCGTGAGAATACAAATCAGCCAGCTAGCCAGCCAGCCAGAGCGAGTCAGTCATGCAGCCAAATACATACCTACTCACCAGCCAGCCAGCTTGCTAACCAGCCAACGGATACATTTTTCCGACATTCAATTGGAATAATTTGTTATTTCGCAGACGGCATTCGAGGAAGACGCATGCAAGCGAGCTAATAAGCCGGACAAACGCAAGGCAAGCAGAACCATACAGTGAGCTAGTGAGCGCGTGTGAACACCACTTAAGTGAGTGTGAATAGTGAATAGTTCTCGAATAAATGAATGGATAAGAAAAAAGAAAAGGTGTGAATTTTAAAAGAAAATTTACTCAGAAACGAAGAAGTTGCTAAGAATTTTAATAATACTAAATTGAAACGCTTTAGAAGAAAATAATGAAGAAACTCTAGTGTGTTGGAAGTAACGAGTGTGAGAATGAAATATAATTAGTTTCGCGTGTGTATACGGTTACTTACATATACAATTGTACTTATAATAAACATACATACATTATATTCATATATGTATGGCTGTGGCAAAGTAAATCGTGGCTTGCACTTTGTTACGTGCGCGTATTTGAGCTATTTGAAACGCTGTCGCGCGTCTATGTATTACAAGCAACTATATATACATACATTTTATATATTATGTATATATAGAAATCCATATATATATAGTACATATGTACATATGTACATACACATATGTAAAATGTTTGTTTTGTATGTTTTTGCGAAAAATTTCGTATCTATAAGCTGTGCTATTTAGGAAATCTACTGCTGCTATCGTAGAGTTGCTTCTGGCTACTTACGCGCTGAACCAAAAACGTTTCTACGCTGTTGGTCGCCGCGGTCGCTCACTTCTCGCTTTATATGTAAGTAAATAGAAACGTGCGCGCATGTTTTTCGGCGTGTTTTTCATGTGATTTAACACACACGCACACGTACGCAAGCAAAATACGTAACGTCTAATTAGCGAAAAGTGTGAGGTGATCAAGCTCCCGCGTGCGAGTCAAGGTAGCGCGAGTAAGACAAAGGTACGTAAGTAGGAAAGCGAGCGGTAAGTTGGGCGTAGCAACGCAGTAGCGGTGGCAATAAATCAATAATTGTAACCGCGGCGGTCAACATAACGTGCGCGCGTGTAAATCGTTAGATATTTTCAGTTTTACACAAGTATACATACAAAGGTGCATTTGCGTGTGAAATAATAATAGAAATAGGAAAACCAAAACAGACGCAACTTCTCCAAAAAAGACCGCGTGGTTCGAGAAGAAAAGCAAAAAATCTAACTATATGTAAATCGTGTTAAAGCTGTTTTCGTAGAAGCTTTATAGTTAACTGGGTTAAAACCCACATTTCCTAAAAGATATTGAAAACTACATATTTCGTGACCTGCTGGCGATGTGTGTGGCCGCTAAGCAGGTCACTCAATTGTGCAGTCAACATTTTATTGATTCTCTTATTTCCCCCTTTTTAGAGAGTTGGAAGAAAAATACAAAATTACAGTATAAACAAGTATTAAAAACGACCAACGGCCGAAAATAGCGCTGTTGAATAACCACAATAATCGAAAAAAGTCGCGTAAGGCGTCAAAAAAAAATAAACAAAGCGACGAGAATATTGCCATCACAGTGCATGCAATACAAACAAAAATAGTATAAATAAACAGAAGGTAAACGCTAAAATGGAAAATCCACAATTGCCGCATGTGTTGCGGCTGAAGTCGCCTAGCAGCAGCAATAGTCAGCATTTGAAGTGAATTAGTACTGCCGCGCGCCGAAGTGAAGAAAACATGTTTTGAAAGTCAAGTTTTTTTTTTAATTTGCATGGACGTCAATTAAACTTTAACTTAACAAGGCACTAGAGGTGGAAGTATAGAGATTTGCAAGCGACGAATCAATTTTTATATTCCAACAAAGTGCACGCGCTTCCAACCAGAGAAAGCGCGTTTGCATCTGTAACCTTTTTGGCCGTTCCATTACGTTATTATACAACAGCTGCGACCTTAGCGGGCAAGCGTGCGCGTGAAAAACAATTCGTGCAACATCTTTCAGACACACAAACACGTGCACTCCACTAAATTTGTGAATTAAAATCCAAAACACTTGCCAAGTTGCGACTTCTTAAGCCCTAATTTAAAAGCGTGCTGCAAGTGCGCGCCAAAAAAAAAACAACGCATTCGTGCGCAACAGCCACCATTGAACGACCCACAACAACAACCCACCCACATCCACAACATTATCAACCACACCAGCACTCGCACCACCAGACCCGACACACACTCACCTTCACCCACAGCAACAACCCCTTCACCACCAACATGTCACTGCAAACTAAGCGTCAACACTGTTATCTGTGCGATCTTCCCCGCATGCCTTGGGCCATGATCAATGACTTCTCCGAGTCCGTTTGCCGCGGCTGTGTCAACTATGAGGGCGCCGACCGCATTGAGCTTGTCTTAGATGCCGCGCGTCAAATGAAACGTTTACATCAGGCCGCCAAGCGTAGTCACGAGAATGGAGAGGTGGTCGCACAACAACAACAGCAGGCACAACAGCAACAACAAGCAGCCGTTGCAGCAGCACAAGCGCAACATCGCAGCGCAAGCGGTGCGCCTATTAGTGTGGGCGTCGGTGTTGGGGTTGTCGGTCCACAACAGCAGCAGCAACATCATCATGGCTATGCGACACAACGCATCGGTCCACCGCCACCACAAGCTACCGGTCTTATGGATTTCCCAGTGAAAATGGAGGCGCACGACGCTAATGTACGTCCAGTGCGGATATCACATATGGCACCGCATCATATGTCAATGACAAATCGTGCTGTTGCTGCTGCGGCGGCAGCTGCAGTCGCCTCCAACGTGGGTGTAGTGGGTCCAGTGCCACCAGCGTTATCGGTGAACTTGAAGCGTCCCCCCCTCCGAGGATGATGATCATACGCATGGTGGTGATGGTGGGGGGCGGCGGCGGTGGTGGTGGTATTGCTGGTGGCGGACCGAGTGCCATGAAGCGTAGCGCCATTGATGACCCCAATGTACCGCGACCACCGCTAACACGTGGCGAATCATTGCCGGCTGCTGTTTCCTTTGTACCCGATCGACAAGCAGGTTTGCGAGATAAGCATCAACCAGTACGGGCACCATCATTTGATGCATCCTCCTTCAAGCCGGGTGGTAAGTTTAAGAAAGCAATACCATTTTCTGAAAAGTTTAAGTGCTTAAGACTATTTGTAACATACTCATTACGTCACATAGTACATTAGCACCATGACACAGTTGTTGTTGTTGGATATCTTCACAAACTCATCGATGCAGTGGCTAGGGATCACAAGAGCTTGTAAATTTCTATAGGTCAATCGGTCCATTATACATATGATCACTAATTAACTAATTAACTAATCATCGGTTTTGCAATTATCTACATCTGTGCTTCGTGTTCTTGGTATAATTGTAGTTAAATAATAGTTGCGCTAATTGTGTGTGTTTTATTTGTGCTTGGGTTTAGTGTAAGGCCTTAAACTATTTTCGTATTTCCCTTTACTGTTTCGAAATGAAGATCTGCTGGATGATGTAAGCTTTTTCAAAACAAACTCTGGCCGTATAGAAATGGGAACTCACTCGTTAGAGAACGTGACTTCTAATAAGTTTCTGCGGACTCCAGAGATCCGAATTATCCTTGGGGTTGCGAAGAAGAAGTATTCCTCATTTTCTATTACGAATTGGTGAGATTTTTGACGCTATCTATCATTCGATTATTCGGAAAATTTCAATTTTTAACTGGTGCCGTCTGTTTAAAATTCCATTTAAATTTTCCATTCTCACATGCATTATATTCCCAAATATATTTTTTATCAATAACCAACTTTGAATCGTTTTCTAAACTATTAACTCATCTCAGCATTTACTCTACACATTCCAATATTTGAAGAAGATAGCGCATAGGTGGTATATATGTATATACATTGAAAAAAAAATAAAATTTTTATTTGATAAGGGAAAGTGCTGATATGTAAAAATAAACATTGATAAAGAATTGAACGTTGATAAAAGGAATACTGATAAGAGAACTTAACGTTGAAAAATTTCGATGCGGCTCAAATCAAAGTTCGTGCTTGCTATGTGTGTATGTATGAAGAAAAACATATTTATTGATTTATTGTGTTCATATAATAGCACATTCATCCTTGACTGACTGATAAGGGACACATATAGTCTTCAATTTAATGTTTGTTGTGTTGCCATGATGCTTCCTAATACTATTGCCGATCATTTAATTGTCTGCTCTAAAGTAATAAAAGTGTGCTGAAGAGTAATGAAAGCTTTTGAAAGGTTAAACTCATAGCTAAGTTTTAATGAATCAGGCGTCAATTCTGCTGATGAAAATTTTAGCAGATAAGTGAACCCATTAAAGAAGAATACGTAATACTGTGATTAGGGAATGAACTTTAGAACAGAAATTTAAACCTAAAATGATTGAAGTAAAAAGAAAAAAATATCGGCAGAAAATATATTGAAGGTAAGAACATCAAAATTCGGGCTAAGTAAGGTTAGATTAGACAACGAAGCAATGGATACCCACATTCAGAAAGCTTAGCAAAAGTCCAAGCGCCAAGAGAATGTTATTTTAATTATCATTATTATCGATTATTTTGTATCCTTTGATACATTTCAAAAACTCGCTTGATGCTTCTAATCGATTTACTATCGACCAAGAGCGCGCTAACTTAGCTTATCGATGCTTATGTATGTATTTATAAGGTAGTGTTTACACACAGAGACTATGGAAATTATATATAAACAGTGCAATGTGTGCATTCATCTTCTCAAAGAAAATTAGGTGTATACATACGTTCAACCCTCGACTGACACCCACTACGACTAAGTTGGGCGGTGGTGCTTCGCAATCGGCCTGGCGCGTCAGTTTTATGTATCTAGCAACGGAGAATTCTTATAGTTTTTTTTTCATTTTATATTTTCTATACATTTTCCTGCCAATTCTTTCTTTTTACTTTCTTTATGTATACTTTATACAAAATTTATATGTACGAACGTTGTTGTTGATTTTGTACGTAGTAGTGTTGTGTGGCTTTCTGTTGCGTGTAGTGCAAGAATTCAGCTGTGTATAATAGTGCTTCTTGTTGTTTTTCTACTTTAGCTAGATACGTAGCCGTGATGATGATGGGGTAGCTAGCTGTAGACTTATCGTTACCACTTGTAATTGGGTTGTTTTGTACATATATATGCGCTACTTTTTTTGGGTTTGGTTCATAAGAGGGTGGCGGTGGTGGCGGCGACCTCTTACGTTTTTGACACTACACAATTGTAACGAGGTTACCCCAAGCGAATGGCGAGCGCGGCGTGTCGTTGTTGTCCGATGTGTATCTACACTAGTTAGCACGAAATCAGCACTGCGTCTGCGTCGGCCAAGCAGCAGCAGCAGTGGTGCATATCAGAAACGGTTGCCAAGCGAATTTGCAAAAACGTGCAATTGGCAAACGTCCCAGGGCAGTTAGGTATAGAGAAAAGATATAAGTATTGTATACTCCAAGCGTGTTTATGTGTGTGCAATGCATTCATGCATGAACGACCCAAAACTCTGCCCAGCATTTGAACGTTTACGGTGCATTCGCTTTTGCATTGCTCTTTTGTTTTTTTTTTGTTGTTTTTCTCGAAGAAAGTGTCATGCGCAGCAACGTGTTTCATACATAATAAAGAGGCAGCATTCATCAGCAAGCACAAAGCTTCATCACAACAACAACAACTTAATCACATAATTCACTAGTCTGAACAGCATTATTATGATCTACATATATACATACATATGTACATAGAGCGCACGCTTTGTGCCAGCTTCGTTGCTTCCTCATCAACATCGTCATTTCCTTGCTTTTCATATGCCACAACGTCATCATCGTCATTATTATTAGTATGTCTGTACAACATTATTAGTGTGGTGCGCAACGTCAGCAGCCGCCTGATATATATGGTACCTACATGTGTATTTTACCGCCATCATTTTACGGTTTCTTTTCTAGTATACTAAATTCGTTTCGTTGGCAAGTCGCCAGAAAATCGTGCAAAATTTTGTCGTCGTATATCCATGCTTACTCAGTTGCATTTGCATATACGTACATATGTACATACATAAATGTAGCTAAATTTGTATATCCGCTTGCATCCCTTGTAACCGCACGCAAATTTGCCTCTTTGGCTTTCCAAGTGAGTTACACATTCATTTTTGTTTTCATTTTCTGCTTCTACGACGCATTTTTCTTTTGCTGTATTCTCCACATGCTTTGCTTTAGATTAAGCGGTTTTTTGCATCTTTTTTCACATCATACTTACTATACGTATGTACATATACTAAGAACATTACATATACATAGCGGCCGTTGTCAACGTAGTCACCGCCATTGACGTCGTCATTAAACTTGTTTTCATTTGAGAACGCCAAAAGCGAACGCGACGAAAACGACTGCAAAAAGCTTGGCAATAACAAACGTATACAAGAACCTCAATACAGGCGGTAACAACAGCGAGACAACGATAAAAATGACAACAGAAAACGAGCACAATTGCGACGACAATGCTGGCAATGTCGACGACAAACATACGTAACTCGTTTACTTGCCCCAATATAAATGTACATATACATACATATATAATA